GATTGAGATTGTTTTTCGCTTTTTATGTTTTAACTATTTTGAGATAATTTTAAAAATACATTTAATTTCACTTGTTTTAATTTAATTGGATTTAAATGTAGCATTTATAAACAGAATGTTATTGTTTTTTAATTTAGTGTTTGAGTACATTTGCACTTAATTATCCTGGATTTAATTTCACTTTGTTTTAATTACAGCTACATTTACGATCAAAGCATTTAATGTGAGCATGGATTTTTTTTTTGTTTTCTTTAATTTATAAAATTATTTTCTAATTGTATCTGCATTTTATTCATTTGTATTTATTTTACTAAATTTTTTCTCATTTATTTTATTGTGATGTAACATGTTTTATTTTGATGTAGTGCAATGTATTTTTAGTTCATTTCCTTATTTGTAAGATTTTAACGTTGATTGATAATAAGCATAGGATTTATTTCGTTTTTTAATTATTTGTATTTCATGTATTGTTTGTGTTTCAGAACGAGGGTAGAAACAGGGGTTTGTTCGAGCGCCTGGAGGAGTTCCGCATCGATCCATCACAGCCTGAAGACAGACAGGTCAATTTGAGATCATCACAGCTTCATGGCAACACCCCGTTAATAGGCCTGAATCAAGCAATCTACTTTTTTTAATCTTCTTCCAGGACATGGAGGGGCTTATGGAGTGGTGGAACAACGTGGAGTGTAAGTTAAAATTCAAATTCTTGTTGTCTATTGACCGCCAATATCTTTGAACTGTGCATCTTTGAAAAATGTGCTCTTCCTCAGCTTGGGAGGACACGCCTCAGGATGAAGACATGTCGGATAAAGAAGAAGCTAAGTGAGTGTCGGGGTCTTGTTGACACGAGGGGATAGACATTCCAACAAATTCCTCCTTCATATTTTTTTTTATAGTCCTACAATGTCTATACATGAATGGATAATATTGGGCAGAAGAGTTGTGCCACAGTGATTGTCAACATGGAAGTAAATGACGTAGTGTAGTGCACTCTATAGTCGTCCGCCACTTAGTTGATTAGTGAGTGGCTGAAGAGAGTTGGTTTGTAAGATTATTCAAAATGTTCATTTCATAGATTGCTGCAGATATATTTTGTTTCTTGGATTAATTGTGAGTTATTTGGATTGAACAAGTTACCACTAAATTTTGATGAGTAGCATGAGTTCATCGCTAGTCACTTGGTTGGTTTTTAAAACGGCAACTACCATTTTCTCTGGTCAGGGCATTTGCGGTGACGGCGGAGAAGGTTCAGAAGGGCATCCGCGTGTTCAACAAGCTGTTCTCCGAGCGTGCCGAGAGCCTCTGGCAGCACGTCATCGACCTGAACGGCATCGCCGATGGCCTGGACAAGTTCAACAAGAACACCAAGATTGCCCAGATCACCGGCGGCTCCACCAGTGCTATTGGCGGCGTGGCCACCATTGCCGGCCTGGCCCTGGCACCCGTCACTCTCGGCACCTCCCTGATCGTGACGGCCGTGGGGCTGGGCGTGGCCACGGCCGGCGGCCTCACGTCGGCCGGCGCCGGAATCTCCAACCAGGTCAACAACTCCATGGACCGCAAGAAAGTGGAGAAGATTGTTCAGGACTACCAGGAGAAAATGGCGGACCTCAACAAGTGCCTTAAGTTCATCAAGCAGGGAATTGAGAACTTGCGGCGCTTCGACCTCATCAAGATGAAGAACAACGCGTACAACCGCGACTTCCCTGTGCTCAGCAGCAGCTTTTACGAGGATGGCGCCATGGCGGGCAAGGCCATCCTTATCAACGCCAACGAGATAATGCGCGTGGTGCAGATCGCCAACGTGGCGGGCAGCACTGCGGCACGCGCCGTTCAGATCGCCAGCATGGCCACCGGCGTCCTCACGGGCCTCTTTGTGGGCATGGACATCTACTTCGTGGCCAAGGACTCCAAGGAGCTGAAGAAGGGCGCCAAATCCGAGTTCGCCGCCAAGATCCGCGAGGTGGCCACGCAGTTGCACGATGGCCTGGTGGAGCTCAACACCATCCGCGAGGAGCTGCAGGGCACCACCACGCCGGAGGACCAAGACCACCAAGGGGGCGACGCTTCAGACGGGAAGGATAAGAAGACAGGGGGTTACGACTATGACAGCTCTGAAGAAGATGAGATTGACCGCATTAAAAAAGCCATCAAGAAAGACCTCGACAACAGGGAATACGTATGACAGACGAACACGGGCCACTGGAAAAACTAAATGAACTACTGAGAAACGTTTGAGAGACATCAAAGTCACTATCCGTAAAAAGCCCCAAAGTTTTATACATTCCATGAATTAAATATAATCCTGGGACGACGTGGAAAACAAATAAGCACCCCTGAAAATGTGTCTTACTCTGCCATACTGGCCTTGGTTATTATCTTGTCAGCTCATTGCACATCCAATGTGCTTGCTGTTTAAATTTTTATGAGATGCAAAAAAATAGGTTTTAATACGGGTGGGCATGACGATTCTGACATTTTTGAGGTGACCTTTGTTTCCTGGCTAGCAAAAGCAGGCTTCAGAATTTCGAACACTAACTGCTAGCTTCTCTTTGTGGGGAATGAATGCCTCTCGTTTTAGCCGTGGATTGTGCTAATGACAAGACATGACAGTTTTTGATATACAATGTCAGAGTGATTCTTTTTTTTTTTTTTAAATCACACTAGACAAGAGCCTTATATTATTGTTGTAATAAATGTAAATGCCGGCTGGCTAACGTTGGAGTCAACACTTACTGGACCTAATGTAGAAATATCTTTAATATATTTGGAGCAATATTTTATGTTTGTGCACTAGATTGATTCTAGTGACAATGTTAATCTCTTGAGCGCTAATGTTTTCACAAGATAAAATCCTGGATAAAATGCTGCATTTTTATTAAATGAACTTTGTATTTATTGTTGTCAAATTGTGGGTGCACTTTTAAATGTCCAATGTATGCGTTGTGATCACAGCAAAAGTGGCAATACTTGCAATTAAACTAAGTAAAGAATCTAATAAAGGCCTGATTTTTTTTTAATCTGTTTTGCAAACAGTTTGAAAATTGTTTACAAAATTATTATTTTATCAACTTAATATTACAGTATTGCTTTTAGATTTTGTTTACATATTTAATTTAGTATTTTTTTTAATTTGGTGAGAGCAAAAAAATAAACATTCTCCAAACAAAACAGGAATTCATTTTGTAAAGAAAGATGAAAATAACCAGAAAGACACCCTCATTCAGCATCTGTTATGATTGTGTTTATATAGTTTTTGTTTTTATATGAATACAAAATTGTGAAGTCATGATACAATTTGATAGTCATATGTTTAATGAGTCATAATTTCCTACCCCCTCTTTGAAATACTAGCCAACATTGGGGCTCATTTTGGTATCCTCTTGAGCCAGACTTGAGGTTGAAACTGATGAGTCAAACCTGCCGAGATCCAAACACAGGTAGGTTAGGCCCTGCCCCTTACTCCTCCTTCCCTCCTCCCTCCTCCTCCGCCTCTTCCCAGGTGAGTCACACACAAAGGAAACAAAACAAAAGGGTTCAAAGACATCATCTACAGGTAAAATCATTGCATTTATCACCCCGGCACATGACGAGGATGCAGTTTTGCAGGGCGTGGTTTCATATGTGTATGTGTTTGTGTGTTGAAGTTGTCTTGCTGGTAACAATGTGGGGTGTGTGTTATTTAGTTGAGGAAATTGTCATAATTGATATTTATTATTCCTGCAATATGCATTCATCATTATAGTATCGCTATTATTGTTGTTGGACCGGTGGACTCGTGTTTTAGCGCACCTGCCTCACAGTTGGAAGTTTCTGGAATTGAATCTGCGCTCAGGCCTTCCTGTGTGAAGTCTACATCTTCCCCCATGCTTGTGTGTGTGTGTGGCTTTTCTCTAATTTGACCCGTTGCGTCGTATATGAGTGTTTGTCTTTATGTGCCCTGGGATTGGCCGGTGACCAGTCCAGGGTGTACCCTGCCTCTCTCCCAAAGTGAGCTGGTATAGACTGTAGCTTCCTCCCTGACCCGAATAATGACAGGCCCATTTGAAAGTGGATAGTTGGATAGTAGGATTGTTCTTATTCTAGTGTATAAGATACTTGACTGTTTAACACACTTATCGCAAGATGTTCCCTCAGGACATTGCAGTGCAATAGAATATCTTTGTGGAAGGATCAGAGGAGTCAACAAGTAGGAACATGCACAAACATTACAGCATGCAAAAGTTTATATTTAGAAAGTCAGTCAGTCAGTCTGCGGAATGGCAGCATGATACTGGGCATGCTGTTGCGTAAAGTTCCAGTCGGAATGAGGTGACGACTATTAAGTCAAGTAAAGGAAAAGAATTCCGTATGGACAAAAGAAAACAATACATAAATCCAATTAAGAGTACATTTATGAAAAATACATTGATTTAATGCAATGTAATACAATTTTTTTTTAATCTGTGTTTTGCTGTTTGTACTGTATGGACGGATGCATTTTTTACATTACGAGCACACAAGACAGATTATTTTTTGTCATAAAACTACTACACTATGGTTTTCTTTTAATGTTGGGCATGCAAGTGGTACTTGATGTAAAAACTTGGAAAACATTTGGTTTTATGTTTATTTTTTAAAACACTTAAAACCTCTTGTTTCCAGTTAAATGTTAAATTAAAATAACTGGAATTGCAGTGCGTTTGAGTGTGTGTTTTTTTTAAATGTTTTGATTTATTTGATTTACTTGTATTCACGGTACGACATATATTTTTAATTGCGGGGAACAATCAGGTCTAAACCCACTGTGATGTTTCAGGTCATTGAAATAAAATATCGGGAAATACAAACGGCTTAGAGAGAGAAAAAACGTTTCATGTTGGATTAATTTGATTGACATATTTTGGGGAAATACACTCCGAAAAAAATCTGTTCGTGTCAAGACGCGGAGGCTGTGATGAAGTTGGAAATTTCGGAGTTTCACCGGGTGCCATTGAACGCCTCCGTAACTGCAGATGCGTTGCGGGGTGTGGTGAAAAGTTTGGAAAATCTCAAGACAGGCATTCACTTTGTGTTCGTGTGTTCGGATATCAGTGACAGAGGAACAATTGGGAGGTTAGTCAAACGCCATTAATGACACAATGAGCATTTCAAATGCTTTTAATGTGCTCGGCAATTATTGTTTTTGAACGGCTGCTGTCAAGTTAACAGCGTTTAATTAAATGTCTGCCGTTTATCTGTCACGATTCAGTGTTCATTGAAACATAGAAAAATGCGGACTTATTTTGTTTTGTAGTTCTCGGTTGCCTCTCTGGAAGCACGTGATAATTGAGGAAATGGGTATATTCGCCGTAAAACAGACAGGAAATATGTGTTTTCATAATTAAGTACAGTAGTCACTAAGAAGCAACTTCCGCGTGACAAAATAATCTAAAAAGTAGATCTTGAAATTCCTCTTGGGAACGTAGCGGCTTTGGGTGAACAAAAGTTGCCTCAATGTCACTTTTTTTTAAATTCGTCTGCGAAAAGCGACGAGTGTTGTATCTTAGTTGTGATGCTCTTTCTGTGTGCAGTGTATCTGTTTACCATTGCGCCCTCGTGGCCAAGGCGCACACACCAAAATGTGCAACACAATGTCAATTGAATCCGAGCAGAAAATCATGATCCAATTACTTATTTGGATTCATTTTTATGTGTTTTTTTTTTTTACTGTATGTTTTTCCCAGTGGCATGCAGTCTTTACTGTCCTCAACACATGATCAAAAGCACTGACCTAGATTTATAATTGACATGGAATTTGATTTTGTTTCTAACAATCTTTGTATTCATTTCATGGTGTGTCACATGTAATGTCCATAGAAGCCAAAAAAAAAATCCAAATTACTGGGTTGATCATTTGAATGTTTTCAGAGGTTGACGTGGGCATGAGTACAGACGTGCACATTTTGGTGATGATTGGTGGTAGTTATTGGACATTGAGGGACGTTAAGCTTTTTTTCTATAGCAAGTGCCTATGGAGAGGAAAAGGCTGAACATCCATAAAATCACAAATATTGTGGGGATCATTTTAATATATTCAGAGATCGACGTGGGCATGAGTAGAGCTGCACACATACATTTTGGTGATGATTGATCATAGTTTAGGCTTTTTTATATGAAGCGTTTTAGACTGACCCCTATGTCCTCCAGTAATGCGTTTGTTGTTTTTTTTTGGAGCTGAAATGAATGGCATTTTCTTTCATTTCAGTGGGGGAAGTTGATTTTGAGGTACAAGTGGCACAAATCAAGTTGCCGCTATAAATGCAAATGTGCTCATCAATCAACTTCCATCATTTTACAAGCATGTGGAAGTATTTACGATGGCGATTACGGTACTGTTCTGAACATTTTGTCTCGTTTTAGGGAAGTGAGATGGAGATGATGAAGCCTGAGGCAAAAAAGAAAAAGCCTGTGAGAATGAATGGAAACATAAAAAATATAATCGAATCAAATGGAAAAAAAATTACATTCCTAAGTCATATTTCTAATGTTCTGTGTTGTCTTCACAGTCCAAACTACCTCCCTGGCCTCCAGAGGTACATACGCCGCACCGTAAGCGACTAGTTGCAGAGGTGTATAATCAGCATTCAGTAAAAATAGGACTTTTTGTTTCAGCCTCAAAGAATCGATACAGAGCAATTGGACAAGCCCACCCCTGTGGTTCCTCCGCGACCCAAGCAGAATGTTTGTACCAAATAGTGTTTTACTGTCAAAAAAGTTGTGAGACGACTAAAGGTTTTTTTTTTTTATCTTATCTTAAAAAAAATGTTTTGAATCCTTCCTTGATTTTTTTTTTTGGAGGAGGGTTCTTGTTCAATGTCTTTTCAAAATTATAACTTGTTGAAACTTTATTTTGGTTTAAAACACATCACCTCAAAGGTTGATTGGTTGATAGCATGTTGATAACGTCTTGGAATATTATTAAATAATTATTTTGGTGTACATGTATGTGTGTGTGCAGGAACTGAGTCACACACAATATCGCCTGAAAAGATTAGAAATGGATGGTGAGGTAAGTGTGTTATTTGTTGAAATCTTGTCAACATTAATTTATTTCCTGGCATCTGAATTTTTAAAAATCAGGGTTGTCCATGAAACTTTTTAAAATCAGTACAAATAATAAATTATGCGGTGTCAATCGTTTCATGGGATATCGCTAACTAGTGGCTCGGCATGCGCATTACAGTGTTTTCACTTTTTGGCATGAATGTTTTCTGTTGGTGTCATGTTACTCTGGCCCTACTTGTGGTGATTACAATAGACAACACAAATAACAGTGGGCGAAAAAAATGTTTTGGATGTGATTTTTCAGGCCAGTCGAAACATGCCACAAAGCGAGACAAAGGAGAAAAAGTCAGAAACTCCCGTACCGGCGCCTCGACGAGCAGAAAAGGTGTAGTACCGGAACTGTCACAATTTAACAAGTTAAAGTCAAAATTGACTTCCATTTTTTTTTCGCGTGCAGGAGAGGAACTGGACGCCAAAACACAGTCAGCGCAACAGCGACCACAAGCAGGTACACCATCTTCTGATGCCATCTCGATGTTGGCCGCCAACACTTGGTCCTCTTCTTTCTTCAGATTTCTGCCATCCAATCAGATGCGGCGACTGACACCAAGCAGGTTTGTCACCACCATGTCAGATTACAATTTTTATTCACCGGTACATATAATTTTCAACATCATTTGTTCCCCTCGCACGTAGACTCGTCCATCTGTCCTGACGGCCAAAGTTTGACAAAGCCTGAAAGACAAAAAAAAAAATGTCATTCATTGTAAGCAATGAGGCTGCTAATGCTCATCATGCTAATAATGTAATGCTAATAATGCTAACACAGTAACGCTAATCCACAATACTAACCATCCATTTCTTATCCGCTTTTCCTCATGAGGGTTGCGGGCGTGCTGGAGCCAATCACAGCCGTCATTGGGCAGTAGGCAAAAAACACCCTGAACTGGTTTGCCAGTCAATCGCAGGGCACACATAGACGATCAACATTTTTGCGCTGACACTCACACCTAGGGACAACTTAGAGTGTCCCATTAACTTGCCATGCATGTTTTTTGGAAACCGGAGTACCCGGAGAAAACCCACACAGGCGCGGGGAGAACATGTAAACTCCACAAAAGGAAGGCTAGAGACGGAATTAAACGCTGCGCCTCTGCACTGTGAGGCGGACGTACTAACCAATCAATCACCATGCCACCCCTATACTAACCAGTTTATATTGGGGATGGGCAACTGGCAACTGCAAGATGCTGACTGATTTTCAGCGTGTTAAATCAAGAATGCCGTTGATTTTGAATATGTTGAAGCAATGCTTTTGTGCACCGTCCAGTATAAGATTCCATGACTTGTACTTTGTATGAGAAGCTCAGAGAAAGGCGGCCTTGATGGTTGCATGGACTCTCTGGCTAAACGTGTTTATGGGAGCGTGTGGGCGTGGATGTGTGCAAGCCACACACGAACACATGCAAATCCAAACGTACCTAAAACCAGTTTTGGGATTATGTGACTCACATCGAGGTATTTACTTCAGAGTCATGTGACTGACAACCAGGACAGAGGTGATGACGCTCCGGACAAAAAGACCACTTCCACCAAACCGGTATTTGTCGCTCTCTGTCCTTTTGTGTGCGTGCGTGCGTGTGTGTGTCATGTGATCGTGTACGTGCATTTGTGTGTGTGTCCTTGCCTCCATTTGTGTGCATGCTTTTGTGTAAATGTGTGTGTGTAACTGCGAGTTTTTGTGTTTTTCTCTACTTTTCTCTTTATAGTTGAGTATGTGAGATGTGACAGGGTGTGACTTTCGCTCCGCAGGGCGTCCTAAAGGGGGTGATGAAGCACCTCAAGTCCACAAGCAAGGTACGAGATGCAGCCCGATGATGATGACATCATCATGCGCGCAGATGTTGAAGTTTGCCCTCCTTGAAGGCCGGCGGCGGCAGCGGTGGCGAGGCACCTCTCGATCCCGACAAAGAAGCGGCGGCTCAGGAAAAGGAACGGACGGACGGCGACAAAGTCAAACAGGAAGTCAAAAGTGCAGAATCCAAACAAGTAAGACATGATGATGACGATGATGAAAAAGAAGGCTGCACGTCATCTCTATTCTTACATTACGAACACGAGACGGTACACGTCCTCAAAAAACGATGTAACAAAAGTGTTGCCAAATTGATATTTTTGGGGATTATCATCATTTTTTTTCCCCAATTATTTTAAGTGTATTTGTTTCTTGTTGTTTCCTTTTTATTCTGTAATTGTGTATGAACTTTCCATTTTGTGTTATTTATTTATTTATTTATTTATTTTTTACTAAATAAGGACATTCTTACATTCATTTTAATAATAGTACTTGAGAACATAACATAAAGGCCAACATGTATTATTTATTTATTTTCAGGACTTCGGTGGTCGCTTTGCGGGAATGTTCCGGAAAGCTGCTTCAGTGACGGTAACTCATGTCGTCTCTTGCTGTGACTGTTGTCATTGTTTTAGGTCTTTCCATTCATCACCATCCTTTCAATATATTTTTTTGGGGGGGGGGGGCAGGTCGGGCTAGTGGACAGCGATTCTGAGGAGACTGACGACCAGAAACCGCCAGAACAAGAACATGCTGGGTTTTTCAACGGGATGTTCAAGAAGAAACCTGCAGAAACGACTCAGCCGGACGAGGTCAAACTACTTCCGAAAATATGAGTGCCTTGACATACGAGTGACCGAGTTCTTCGAGATGCGAGCTGGCGGTCGCGGTCGGCAGACTTTTTTACTTGAACTCGCGAGCGCAAACTTGAAACACAAAAACTCTATGGTGGAAGGTGACTGAACTCAGTTCGAAACAAGCGGCAGTTGGGCAAATATGATTGGTAAACTCTCTTCAAAAAGAGGAGCCTTCAAAGCTGTTTATTTGCACTCTCAGCTGAAAGTTATTGTTAAACTCAAGATCAAACAAAGAGAATAACCCATTGCCAATTGAAAACAACTAGATGGCTCCTAGTAGCTTAATGCTAACAAACAGTGGGAAACACTTTAGCGACACGGGCTAACAATTAGAATCTGCATGGCAGTGTTGTTACCCTTCAGCGATCCGATTTTATAAGGGAAAAACATGTGCAAAAAGTGAAGCGCCGTCAACATTTTTTCTTGTGGATGTTCTATTTCAGGAGCAGCAGCCCGGTATCCGTGGCGACCTGTCAGACAGCAGCGCCAGTTTGTCCGAGAAGGCCGCCTCAGAGGTCAGCTGGTTGTCGTCATCTTTTATCATCTTTGTGTTTGTCGTTAACATCACAGACAAGTGTGTGGATTTGCGTTGCAGGAAAAAGGAGGATTTTTCAGCGGAATCCTCCGCAAATCTCCCAAGCTTCCCAAAGAGACCATACCCAAGCAGGCGAGCCATGCAAAATATTGTTTTTGCACAATTCCAGATGGATTTTGTCCCCGCAGGGCTCCTGTAGCCCGCGTTGCTACCAGCTCATCTGGTTGGTTACAAGTTTGTTGTTTTTGCTCGTAGGATCCCGAAGAGCTCTCCGCTGATCTCTCAGGCAGCACAGACAGCCTGACGGACAATAAGGTGTCTTTTTTTTTTTTTTTAAATTTTTTTCTTGTTTTTATTCTGTTTATTTACCGTAATGGAAATATGTCATATACCAACAAGATTTATCCATTCAGTTTTTTTTTTCAATCGATAAAAAAAAAAAGGGTCATTAACTTTATCATATTTTATTTGATTGATTTTATTTTATTTTTTGTGGGGGGGGGGGTTCAACATATCGTTATCAGATTGACAAATAGTATAGCTCCTGCCTTGCATATTGTTTGTGTAGGAGAAAGGAGGTTTCTTTAGCGGATTTCTCAAGAAGACGCCCAAAGCCGATACAGAGGTGCAACTTTTTTTTTTTCCCTCTCCTCTCATCGATGACATTTAGGATGATTGTGTTGTTTCATTCGTAAACCGTGCGAATCCTCGTCCGCACATCGTAATGAATCTCAAGCGTGATGTTTGATTTTCAGGAACTCACGAGCACACAAAAAGAGCTTTCTTCGAGCAATGACAGTCTCTCTGATGTCACAAAGCCCAAAGTGAGTTCTGTCCTACTTCTTTTGTGTGTTTTGGAAGATCTTGGTGTGTCTCAAACCCAAGGCCCGGGGGCTAGATCTGGTCCGTCGCATCGTTTTATGTGACCTGCGGAAGCAAAATCAAACATGTCAGCTTGCACGATGCTTGCTAAAATCGATACCAAAATTTCAAATAAGACAGATGTTGTCAGCATTTTCTTGTTGCCAAACCCCCTCATGACAGCAACTTCAACCAAAGTTGAACAAACCGTTATTCCCGACTTCTTTATACACCGTAGTTTCCGTCAAAACGGTCCTCCGAGGGAAACGGTACCTCAATGTGGCCTACGACAAAAATGAGTTTGACACCACTGTCACAGAAGATAACTCGTGTGTTTTTTGCATGTGTTTCAGGAGAAAGGAAGCGCGTTCGGCGGAATGTTCAAGAAGTCGCCTCGAACGAGCGAGATGCCCAATGCAGAGGAAGTGAGAAGCGTCCCGCCCAATCTTTGCTCTTGCACTAATGAAATCGTTTTAATCTTCACTTAGACATGAATGTACTTCCAAAATTGTTGCAACCAATTTTAGACTGCGAAAAAAAAAAAAATTCCAGAGTCGGACAGTTTTTATCAAAATAGTTGTCAGTTCATTTGTTCACGTTGGCCAAATTATGATTATTATTATTATTTTTTAATTAGAGATGGAAGAAAAGTTCTTAATTCTTTTTTTTCCCCCACTGATTCCAAATCGGCCTCCTTCTGTAATCAGTTAGTTGTCCAGTTAATCATGTTTAAGAAGACTTGCGAACGATGGTGATTTGAGATTGAGGATTCGGGAGATATGCAAGAGAAGACGGCACAGGAAATGAAAAAAAAATATTTCTCTTCTTTCTCATCCTTACTGAACAGCCTCAAGACGATGAGCGCTCGCTGGGTAGTGACGGACCCTCGGAGGAGAAGAATAAGGTGACTTTTTTTTTTTTCCCAACTTTCTAGTGCACCATGAAATCCTATTCATGTGATGCTGAAAAATGTGTTTCAGGAAAAAGGAGGACTATTTGGTGGATTCTTCAAGAAGACCGCCAAAGCATCTCAACCTGACCAGGTAAACACTGCACATTAATGTTATTATTTACAACTTGTTAAATTCAAATGAATAGGATAGCATTACGATCTGGTTCTCCTTGTCACTTACAGGATGAGAGCGTGGAGAAAAAGTTGTCAGCCAGCAGCGAGGATTTATCGGAAGGAAAAGCGGTACGGAATAGAATCTTTCGTATTTCCACATCAGTCCACATCATATGTGTGGCCATGGTCAACATGGTGTGTTTTTGTGTGGGACGGTGGGGTCAGGAGAAAGATCGAGGGCTCTTTGGCGTCTTCCTCAAAAAGACCCCCAAAGGAGAGAGGGCTGACTCACCGGTGAGTGTTAATTTTGAATTATTTTATTTTATTTTATTGTTTTCCCCACATTTGAATCAATCGCATGTCCCAATTCCAGGATAGTGAGGAGGACAAGGAGCAAGCAACTACAAAGGCAGTGGGCGGCGACGATGTGGTCGATAGGGACGTCCCCAAGGTACCAAAAAGTCGGATTTGATGACGATGCCATCGCAGGAAGGCATTGACCGATGAAAAAAATTTACACACAAAAACATTTGCCTCTCTTGAGAAAGATTCATTTGAATTATTTTGTTTCATAATTGAAGGTATTGCATTTTTGTACTTATCTGTATTATTGGAGTATTAAGTGTGTTTGTGTAAAATTAGTTGTTTTTATTTTGCTAATTTCACTCCCCAGTGGAATATACTTTTTTTTTTTTTTTACCTGAATACATTTTAATTGTATTTTTTGAAATAATTAAAAAAGTTTTTTTGATTTACTTTTATTACTTTTGGGTTAATTTATATTTAATAAAAATATTTTCTTGAATTTATTGAATATAATAACGTTATTTTAATTCTTATTTATTGACTTTTCTATTCATTTTAATCCCTCAATGAATATCTGTGGAATATTTACTTAAGTGCAGTAATACTTATTTTTGTCTTGTTTTTAATTTAATGATTTATTTTTGAAATACTCAATTTAAATTGGATCTCTTTTCGTTTTCCTTTTTAACCAAAAATAATAATAATTCATTGCCAATTTTAACCTTCAAGAAATATTAGTGGAATATTCGTTTCATTTACACCATGTGCAAGATCAGAACTTGTTGTAATTTACAGCTTTTTAATGTAGTTTTTTTTAAACTTAGAAAAATACATATCTTGACTTTATTGTATTAATTTTAATCCTGCAAGGCATTTTAGTAGAATCTAAATTGTGTCATGTATAATTTGGTGTTCATGTGTTTTTATTTTTTATTTTTTCCAGGATAAAAACCTTTTCAGCAACATGTTCAAGAAGCCTCAGAAGCCTACAGAGGGCGATAAGGTGCCTCCCACTCCCAAAAATGTTTCGTTCGTAATTCACTGATGAACAATAGTAAGGAACTATTTGGTGCGATTTTAGGAAGCCCTAGTCAAGAGTGAAGTGAAGCCATCTGGGAGCTTGGAGAACTTGTCCGAAAACGTCCCCAAGGTTTCAACAAAGTCCGCTTGATGCTTTGGCTTGTCGGTTGTTTGAGATTTGACCCAAAAAAAGTGCACTCTTAGGTGAAAAAAGGAGGCCTGGCGGGCATCTTCAGAAGATCCAACAGCCAAGACAACCTGCTGGATGAGGTCAGCATCACTTAAGTGCGCTCGTCACCGTGAGGGAGGTGGAGAAAGTCTTACGTGGGTGGCCTGTGCGGGGCACTCTTGTCATCTTGGCAAACAGGAGAAAGGTGGACTTTTTGGCGGACTCAAGAAAAACACCAACAAAGCGCCTGACGAGGACCAAGCTGCAAGGGTGAGTTGGCTGCCTCATTTTCCATTGTTGGCTTTTTTTTTTTAAACAGTCACTCATCATTTCAGGACAAGGAGAAGTCATCAAGTAACGACAATCTATCGGAAAACACCAATGCCAAGGTAAAAGTCGAACATCTACATGAGGAATGACCCTTCCCCGCCCCCCAAAAAAGGAATCATCAATGGATAAATAGTTGTACTTATTTTTTATTGCATTTTTAGATCATTTTTGTTTCCTTTCTGTATAATTTGTAAACATATGTAAGTTTTGTAAATTTCTGTTTTAATGTATATTTATCATAGTTTTAAAAAAATGTTTAAGCCTGTATTTTTTAATCAAATTCATTAGTATTATTAGTTATTTCCCAAATATTTTAATATTTGCATTTTTATTTACATTTTGAATCTTGTATGAGATCTCTTCTTTTTTGTTTTCATTAATTTTCCTCTGAAAAATGTTTAAAACTTGTTAATTTAAAATATATTTTTTTATTTAAAACCAATTCAAATATAATAGCTAATCCAATTTTAAAAAAAAACATTAGATTTTCTTTCATTCATCATGTTATTTAAATGTTAAAAAAAATATATATATATATAAAATATCGTAAACAATTTTGCTGTACATATAATTTTACATTGGTAAGGGTTTTTTGTACGTAAATGACACATTTGTTTATTTAATTATGTTTTTTTTAAATGGTTTGATAGAAACATTAACAGTAATTTTTGGGTCAAAATTCATTTGGGGCGTATTTTTTTGTTCTTACATTTTTTTTTTTTACAGTATCTGATTCATAACAATTTTTTTTTTCCTAGGGAAAAAGTATTTTCAGTGGCATGTTCAAGAAAGCGCCGAAAGCAGGCGACGAGGTGACAACACCATAGATGCTGATTATTTTTCTTGTTTTTATTGTTATTCTCAATTGTTGTCGCTATTATTGTTGCTCTGCAGGAGTCAAACGGCGATGAGGAAAAGAAGCTCTTATCGGCCAGCAATGAAAACTTGACAGAAGAAAATGCACCAAAGGTGCAGACGATGGTGACAGACATCACATTTGGACTGTTTTCACCCTGTTTAATGACACAATATTTCGTTCCCAGGAAAAGGTGGGAGGTTTGGCGGGAATGTTAAAAAAGTCGCCCAAACCAGCACCACGTTCTCTCGCCACCAAGGTGATTTCCTAGACGATTTTCTACTCGTGTTCATTTGATAAAATAATCGAACGTCGCATCATTTTTTTTTTTTTGCTTCCAGGATCCTCTTAGTGATGGCAAGCAGGAAGAAAGTGTCAAGGTAAATTACAGGAGAAAAATACTGTGATTATTCTTATTTTTTTCTTTTTTTGCCGCACTTTGGCTAGACAGAGAGAATAAAACCTATTTTTATTAAAAAAAATTTTTTTGTTTGATGGACGTTTGAAACTTAGGATACATAGGCAAATAGACAGACGGATAAAAAATTCGATTTCAGACTGTCCTTGAAGGAAATACTGACTAATTTTTTTCCCCATTTTTAAATTTGAACTTTTTTGTAATGTTATGGTTAGGGGGTTGGGGTTAGGGTTAGGGGTAAGAGTTTGTGGTTAGGGGGTTAAGGGGTAAGGGCTTAGGGTTAAGTGATTTATTTATTTACATTTTAAATAAATGTTGAATTGCATTTATTTTCTTTATATTTTGACAGACATTTGGAACAAACATTAGTTGTGTACGGGCAAAACTATGCTTTTCCAACTGTCACTGAAGAGAATTGTATTGGTTTTGGTCTTTTTCTTCTAACAAGGATGACTTGTCAGGAGACGAATTAGCAGGCCCTCCTGTCGATCTTGAAGCTGCCACTGCAAAGGTGAGTGAGTACGCGGTGCACATTTGGAATCCTTTTCCAGTAAGTGTGATTGACGTGTGCATACACTGTACAGCATATCTGAATCTCTGTTTATGTCTGACAGGAGAAAAAAGGAGGCTTCACTGCCATGTTCAAGAGGACGCCCAAAACCGCTGACAAACAGGTAAGGCTGTTTTTCAAGTCACATGGGAAGATGAGTTCACAAGTTCTCATGCCCCGTTAACGCTCGCAGGACAATGATAAGGACGAGGAGCGGGCGCCATCTGCGGGCGGGGGGCTGAAACGCAGGAGGACTATCAAGAAAAAAAGACGAGTGAGAGTTTTGTTTTGTGAAATTGCGACGCGCAAAATGTTTTCCCGGTCTGACTGTCATGTCGCTTTTTTTTTTTTTTTTTTTTTTTTTTTTTTTTTTTTACCTCCTCCAGGTTATATCCTTCAGAGTCAAGACAACTCTTCCCAGGACGTCACAGGTAACCCCTCAGCCAATTTATCTTTGCAGCACAACATTTAATAGCATTATCTATTATCGGCAGACTCACAAAAAAGACTCAGGAAGCCATACCTGAAAAGACACAGGATGACTACCATTTTGATTTGAGGCAGATCTTTTGAGGCCCATTTCCAGTAGAGATTGCCTGCAGTTTTAAGTTTTCATCTTCAGTGATATTCGTTCTCTTGCTTTTTGCTTCTCAGGCCCAAGAAAAGATGCCGGTCATTGAGGAGAGTCTGGAGATGCAGGAGATGATTCCGGCACAGGTGAGTTTCTTCTTCTCCTTCCTCCTCTTTACTCCTTTGAACAGAGGTCCCGTGTGACAATCATGTATGATGGAGGTTGGACTTTTTTTTTTGTTTGTTTATTTTTTAGAGTACAGTTGAGGTCCAATCGGTGGAGATGGCCGCATACCCAACTGAGGGAAACCCACTGGAATCTGAGGAGGTGTGTGTGCGCCGCCACCATCCACATCCGCATCAGCATAACATGACAACATGAGGTCGAAGTTGAGTGTCGTGTTGTTTTTGTTTTCCTGCAGGAGAACGATGGCCTGATGGAATGGTGGAAAAATGTTGAAGGCGAGTGTACCATCTTGATTTTTTTTCGTTTTTTGTTATCTTGAAAAAGATTTTCGTTCTCTTATCTGTCTGATGTGATTTGTCTTGACTTCATGTCTCCACAGGTTGGGCCGAGTGGAACGAGACGGCCAATTTCCAAGAAGATGAGGAGGGAATGTATGCACACTCTTAGTTTTTTGATTTATTGATTATAAATGGGTGGGTAGATTGATGGAGAAATCCAGGTTAGGTGGATGGATGATTGAATTTTATATGATGGATTTGTGATCGATGGATGCATGGATAGATGATGGACGGGTGTTTGACGGTTGGACAGCGACAGTAGATGAATTTGGGTGGATTGAGTGATAGATGGGTGACAAGAGTTAATATATAGTCAGGGTGGATGAATGATGGATGTTGGATGGGGGATTGGGTAAATTGATAGATGGTAGTTGGATGATCGATAGCTGGTTGATGGGCCTTTGGTTGGATGGATCAGTGTTGGATGATGAGATTGATGAGTGGCGATATCAGATTTACAGAGATGGATGGAGTGATGATACAGTCGATAGATAGTTGGATTGGTGGATGGACGATTGGGTAGATTAATAGAGGGATCGTCGATTTAAATATGAATGATGAATGGATGTGTAGACTGATACGTGGATAGATGAATGGTTGAGAGGTTGTATGGATGGATAGGTGATACCGTAGATTGATGGATAAATTGATCGATTGATTCTCAGAGTGTTTGATGGATTGATTGATGTTGGATGAATGGATAGGTGATATTAATGGGTTGTTAGGTGGTGTAGGTGACTCGTGATTGGTTGATCATTTGAGGATGTATAGAGGGAGAGTAGTAAATGTCATAAGGTAGCAGTGAATGTAATGCAGGTGTACCTAATGAAGTTTCCCGTCATGTCAATGTCTGCAGAGCAATGGAGGAGGCGGCCGACCGTGTCTACATGGCAGCGCGCCTGTTTGTGCGCCTCTTCAACCAGCGGGGGGCATCCTTGCAACACTGCATCCTTGAGCTGCTGGCCGTTGCCGATACCGCAGACCAGTTCCATAAAAAGACGGTATCGGCAGCCGTAGGCGGAGGTGTGGCCAGCGTGGCTGGCAGCCTGACGACCATTACGGGGCTCATCCTGGCGCCATTCACCTTTGGCGCCTCCATCATTGTCACGGCGGTAGGCATTGGCGTGGCCACGGCAGGCAGCATCACCTCGGCCACGGCCAACATAACAGACGCCGTCCACTCTAACATGGACCGCAAGAAGGTGGAAAAGATGATCCAGGACTACCAGGAGCAGATCAAAGACATCCGCGAGTGTATGAATTTTGTGCAGGAAGGCATAGACACCCTGCAGGAGTGGGACTTTGAGAAGTACTCGCAGAGTGCTGCCAAGAAGGCCCTGAACCACAACATCAAACATGTGGTAAAGGAAGGCGGCCGAGCAGGAAAGGCCCTAATGATCAACACTGACAAGCTCATTAGCACTGTCCAGGTTCTGGGTGCGGGGGCTGGAGCAGCCAAGGCCGCCCAGGCCATCAGCGTCACCACGGGGGTCATGTCGGCGCTCTTCCTGGCCCTAGATGTCTTCTTTCTCGCCAAGGACTCCCATGAACTACGTAAAGGTGCCAAGACCAAATTCGCATCCAAGATCAGGGATGTGTGCAAGGAGCTACAGGATGGCCTCCTGGAGCTCAACAAGGTCAAGACTCAGCTGCAGAAGACCATGGACGGCATCGAGGTTGAGGAGTATGAGGAGATCGAGGAGGTGGAGGTGGAGGTAGACGATGACCTGGAGTCAGATCCCAAGAAGCTGGCAGAACTGGAACAAGAGCTGGATCTCATGGAATTAAAACTGGACAAACGGATTGAGGAGGGCAAAATCACAGAGAAGGAAGGTGAGTCCAAGGAGAAGAAGGAAGGGTTGAGAAAGAAGGACAAAATGGACAAGGAGACAGAGAACCGGACCACGGCTTCGAAGGAGAAGCAAGAGAAAGAAACAGCAGCATCGTATAAAAAAGTGGAGGAGAAACCCAAAAAGCAGGATCATGGTGGGCAAGATACATATGGTAGAACAGGAGAATCCCAAAAAAATCCAGACCAGGAGAGAAGCCTCCTAGAAGATAGGGGGAAAGACGCATTGGCCAGAACAAACAACTCCCGTACAAAGCCAGAGCATGAGAGAAGACAGCAGGAAGATGATGAGAAAGAATCACTCGGCAGAGTGGAGGATTCCAAAAGGAAGTCAGAACGTGAGAAAAGTCACAGAGGGCTGACGGTGAATCCCGAAGGAAGCGTTCATATCGATGAGTGGGCCAGTCAGGAGAGAAGAAGCAGCGGATACGGATCCAAACGTGAAAGCAAAATGATGGATAGCATTCAAGCAAAAGACCGGAGGACAGAAGACAAAGCAAGTAGAGAAGGATTGGACTTGGACAAGGGCATGACAAGAGACACTCACGGGAGAAGCGATGAACGGAGGGATTCGCAACAGAGTCGAGAATCGAGCCGGCGGGACCACACAGAGTGGAGGATAGCGTCCAGCCACAGGAGTCACCACAGGAGAGCGGAGGAAAGGGCGGGAGACGAAGTGCGCGGCGAGGAAGAACGAATGAGCCGGACCGAGAGCACCCGGAAGAAGCTTGAGCGAGGCGGTGACCACGTGGAGGATTATCGAGGGAGCACAGAGAGTCACAGGAGAGGAAGTGACCGAGTCAAGACGGGAACTGACAGGGAGAGGAAAGGAAGTGACAGAAGAGAGTCACAGGAGAGGAAGTGACCGAGTCATGACGGGAACTGACTGGGAAAGGAAAGGAAGTGACAGGGACAAGACAAAAAGTGATCATGGGAGGAGAGGAAGCGACAGAGAGGGGAAACACAGTCGTCGAGGTTCTCGGCATTCCAGTGTCCTACTGGATGATGGACTTTATATTTAGATTTCTAGCTCTTTGATGTCTTTTAAACCAGTCTTACCGTTAATTGTCACATTTTTTATGAGTTGTAAACATTGATCCTGCTCTTGTGGGAGAATTATGGACAAATGTAATGCACTATAGTTAGTGGAGAACTGACAATTATTGGGAGGAGCCACATCTAGGTTTTTTTTCCTTAATAGAGACTTTTTAAAAATCATTCTTATGGTCCAGTCTTTGATTCAAAGACCTTAGCAAGACCGCGGTATCTTGGTTCTCGTCCTTTGGCCAATGTCTCAAACTACAGACCTTTTAGGGATGAGTCATTAGCCAGCCTTTGGTCTTTGTGTCTGACCTGATAGCAAGACCCATTGGTGCAGTTTTTTGGCTCATGGCTCTATGTAAGGCCTTGTTGTTTTGATCCTAGTCCAAGCCCACCTCTGTCTCTTTGGGGGAAGTCATAAGATAGGCCTGGATAATTCTGTCTTTTGATTCACGAATTCTGGCAAATGTCTGGAGCTAGACCAACTATTGACATTTGGGAACAAGTCTTGCCTCTAGCTTGAAGCAAGGCCTATAGTTGTTTTTTTGTTTTTGTTTTTGTTTTTTGGTCCAAGTACAAAGCAAGTACTTGGTCTTTTGGACATGGTCCTTTGGCCAACCTACTTGGTCTTTTGGACATGGTCCTTTGGGTAACCTCTAAAGGTAGATGTAGATGTTTTATGGGCAAGACTCAAATGAGTCTACGTCTTTCCAAGTGTGAAGAAAGAATTTGGTCTATTGGTAATCTGACCTAGGTCTTTCTGACCAAGTTTAGACCCGGACCTACATTCTGTCTTTAGGTTCAGGGGTTTTAGTTTAAAGCCAGGGCAAAATATTTCTGCCTGAGCTTCAAGTAAGAGCTGATGTCCGTATTTTTGGTCGAGGACTTGAGGAAGAGCCTTTGGCCTATGTTCCAAGTCTTTTGGGGGCAAGTCTGGCCGATGTCATTCCGTCTGAATTTCAAGCCAGTCCTTGATGTTTTGGTCTTTTGGACAAAGTCCTATTGCTGTACTGGAGTCATAAACCAGGTGTTGGGCTTTCTGATCAAATTTTGACCTACTGGATGTCTTCCTGTCCAGGTCTAAAGTAAGGTTTTGGCATCTTGGTCCTAATGTTCTAGCCAACTCCTTGAGCCAAACCAAGGTCATTTGGACAGCCCTAGATTTTTCGGTCTAAGGCCATAGCAAGACCTTGTTTCTTTAGTCCGCATCTTTTAGCCAAAGTTGTGAACATATATATTTTTAAAATTTTTGAGATAGGTACATTATTCTATTTTTTGTTTTTTCATTTCATCATTTTAAAATTACACTATATTTATCTTATGGTTACCACTGACATTTTTATATTAGACAGTGTACTTTTCACTGGTGTTGGTTTTCTTACTGAACAAATAAATTATTTTCTATGCCAATATTGACACAGAATTGTTTTTAATGTATTTAACGTGTGGACAAGGTTTTATTTTGTGGGTAAATTAACAAATCAAAAAAAAAAAAAGAACTTCCCCCCTTTCAAGTCCTCATCCATCCATTTCCTGATCAGCTTAATCCTCACAAGGGTCGCGAGGGGTGCTGGAGCCCACTTGGTGGAGTCTTCAGGCAGTAGGCCGTGGACACCCCGAACGGTTGCCAGCCAATCACAGGGCACAAATATACAAACAACGCTCACACTCACACCTTGGGACAATTTAGAGTGTTCAATCAGCCTGCCATGGATGTTTTTGGAACGTGGGAGGAAACCGGAGTACCCAGAGAAAACCCACGGAGGCACTGGGAGAACATGCAAACTCCACACAGGAGGGCTGGAGCCAGGATCGAACCCTCGACCCCTAGACTGTGAGGTCGACCTGCTAACCACCGGGCCGCCCCGTATACATATTTAATTCAGTAATTTTTTTAATTTGGTGAGAGCAAAAAATAAACATTCTCTAAACAAAACAGTAATTTATTTTATGAAAACAGATGAAAATACCCAGAAAGACACCCTCATTTGGCCTCTGTTGTGATTGTGTTTTTGTAGATTTTTTTATATGAATACAAAATTTTGAAGTAATGATACAATTTGATCAGTTTTGTCCTCATATGCATATGGTTGAGCAGACTATTAAAGGGTTAATGAGTCAGAATTTCCTCGCCCCGCTTTGAATTATTAGCCAACATTGGGGCTTATTTTGGGATCCTCTTGAGCCAGACTTGAGGTTGAAACTGATGAGTCAAACCTGCCGAGATCCAAACACAGGTAGGTTAGGCCCTGCCCTTTCCTCTTCCTTCCCTCCTCCCTCCTCCTCCTCCTCCGCCTCAGACAAAAACAAAAGGTTTCAAAGACATCCTCTGCAGGTAAAATCATCGCATTTATCACCCCGACACATCATGAGGATGCAGTTTTGCAGGGCGTAGTTTCATCTGTGCGAATGTGTGTTTGTGTGTTGAAGTTGTCTTGCTGGTAACAATGTGGGGTGTGTGTTATTTATTTGAGGAAATTGTCATAATTGATATTTATTATTACTGTAATATGTATTCATCATTATAGTATCACTATTATTGTTCTTGGACTGGTGGACTCGTGTTTTAGCGCGCCTACCTCACAGTTGGAAGTTTCTGGAATTCAATCCGGACTCGGGCCTTCCTGTGTGGAGTTTACATCTTCCCCCATCCTTGTGCATGTGTGGCTTTTCTCTAATTTGACCCGTCGCGTGAATATGAGTGTTTGTCTCCCGAAGTGAGCTGGTATAGGCTGCAGCTCCCCCCTGACCCGAATAATGACACGCCCTTTTGAAAGTGGATGGTTGGATAGAAGGATTGTTCTTATTCTAGTGTATAAAATACTTGACTGTTTAACACACTTATCGCAAGATGTTCCCTCAGGACATTGCAGTGCAATAGAATATCTTTGTGGAAGGATCAGAGGAGTCAACAAGTAGGAACATGAACAAACGTTACAGCATGCAAAAGTTTATATTTAGAAAGTATGGAATGGCAGCATGATACTGGGCATGTTGTTGCGTAAAGTTCCAGTCGGAATGAGGTGACGACTATTAAGACAAATAAAGGAAAAGAATTCCATTTGGACAGTAGCAAACAATACATAAATGCAATTAAGAGTACATTCATGAAAAATACATTGATTTAATGCAGTATAACACAAAAATTTTATAAATCTGTGTTTTACTGTTTGTACTGTTTTGTTTTTAATTTACTTTTTAGATGTACTATTATAAAAGTGGGACAGGTCTGTTGATTTTTAATCTAAAAATAACGGATGGATTTTTAAAATTTTATAAAAGAATCACATAACAAACACACATTACAGATTATTTTTCGTCATAAAACTACTAACACTATTGGTTTTTTTAATGTTGTGCATGCAAGTGGTACTTGATGTAAAATATTTCAGAAACTTGGATTAAAACATTTGGTTTTATCATTATATAATACTTAAAACCTCTTTTGTTTTCAGTTAAATGTTGAATTAAAATAATTGGATTCGCAGTGTGTGTGTGTATATATATTTGATTTACTTTTATTCATGGTACTATATATATTTTTAATTGCGGGGAACAATCAGGTGTAAACCCACTGAGATGTTTCCAGGTCATTTAAATAGAAATATAGGGAAATACAAACGGCTTCATTAGAGAGAGAAAAACGTTCCATGTAAGATCAATACATTTGATTGACACATTTTGGGGAAATACACGAAAAAAAATCTGTTCGTGTCACGCCGCGGAGGTTGTGATGAAAGTGGAAATTTCGGAGCTTCACCGGGTGACCTTGAACGCCTCTGTAGCTCCAGATGCGTTGCGGGGTGTGGCGAAAAGTTTGGCAAATTTCAACACAGGCATTCACTTTGTGTTCGTGTGTGAATGTGTTCGGATCTCAGTGACAGAGGAACAACTGCGAGGTTAGTCAAACGTGATTAATGACACAATTAACATTTCAAATGCATTTAATGTGCTCGGTAGTGATTGTTCTTGAACGGCTGCTGTCAAGCTACAGCGTTTAATTAAATGTCTGCCGTTTGTCTGTCATGATTTAATGTTCATTGAAACATTAGAAAAATGCGGCTTTATTTTGTTTTGTAGTTCTCCGGTCGATCCAATCTGGAAGCACGTGATAACTCAGGAAATTGGTATTTTCGCAGTAAAACAGACGGAATGTTGGAAATATGTGTTTTCATAATTAAGTAGTCACGAAGAAGCAACTTCCGCGTGACAAAATAATCTAAAAAGTAGATCTTAAAATTCCTCTTGGGAACGTAGCGGCTTTGGGTTAACAAAAGTAGCCTCAATGTCACTTTTTTTTTTAATACGTCTGCGAAAAACAACGAGTGTTGTACCTTCCTTGTGATGCTCTTTCTGTGTGCAGTGTATCTGTTTTCTACTGCTCCCTCGTGGCCAAGGCGCATACACCAAAATGAGCAACACAATGTCAATTGAATCAGAGCATAAACTCATGATTCAATTCATGATTAATTATTTGGATTAATTTTATTTTATTTTTTTTGCTGCATGTTTTTCTCAGTGGCATGCAGTCTCTACTGTCCTAAACACACAATCAAAACACACATTTCGAATTGACACGGAAACAATCTTTATCTTTATTTCATAGTGCGTGACATGTAATGTCCATAGAATCCCCAAAAATCCAAATTACTGGGTTGAGCATTTTAATGTTTTCAGAGGTTGACGTGGGCATGAGTACAGACGTGCACATTTTGGTGATGATTGGTGGTAGTTATTGGACATTGAGGGATTTTTTTTCTATCGCAAGCGCCTATGGAGAGGAAAAGGCTTAACATCCATAAAATCCCAAATATTGTGGCGATCATTTTAATATATTCTGAGATTGACGTGGGCATGAGTAGAGCTGTGTACATACATTTTGGTGATGAGTGATCATAATTTAGGCTTTTTTTTTACATTAAGCATTTTAGACTGACCCCTGTAATGCGTTTGTTGTTGTTTTGGAGCTGAGATTAATGGCATTTTCTTTCATTTCAGTGGGGGAAGTTGATTTTGAGATACAAATGAAGTTGCCGCTGTAAATGCAAATGTGCTCATCAATCAACTTCCATCATTTCGCAAGCATGTGGAAGTATTTACCATGGCAAATTTTTTTCTGAACATTTTGTCTCGTTTTAGGGAAGTGAGATGAAGATGGCTCAGCCTGAAGCCAAAAAGAAAAAGCCTGTGAGAATGAATGGAAAGATAAAACATAAAATAATATAAAATAGGAAAAAAATCACATTCCTAAGTCGTATTTCTCATGTTCTGTGTTGTCTTCACAGTCTATACTGCCTCGCTGGCCTCCCGAGGTACTTACTCCGCACCGTAAGCGACTAGTTGCAGAGGTGTATAATCAGCATTCAGTAAAAATAGGACTTTTTGTTTCAGCCTCAAAGAATCGATACAGAGCAATTGGACAAGCCCACCCCTGTGGTTCCTCCGCGACCCAAGCAGAATGTTTGTACCAAATAGTGTTTTACTGTCAAAATAGTTGTGAGACGAATAAAGGTTTTCTTATCTTATCTTAAAAAAAAAATGCTTTGAATCCTTCCTTTATTTTCTTTGGAGGAGGGTTCTTGTTCAATGTCTTTTCAAAATTATTTTTATAACTTTTTGAAACTTTATTTTGGTTTAAAACCATCACTACAAGGTTGATTGGTTGATAGCAAGTTGATAATGTCTTCCTTTTGTGTGTGATTGGAACATTATTAAATTATTATTTTTGTGTACATGTGTGTATGTGTGCAGGAACTGAGTCACACACAATATCGCCTGAAAAGATTAGAAATGGATGGTGAGGTAAGTGTGTTATTTGTTGAAATCTTGTCAACATTAATTTATTTCCTGGCATCTGAA